CGACTACACGGATACGAACACACGAATATAATTGGATTTCCAATATTGTTTCACGTTATATACCTATACACGCCTATACGCGAATAGAACGTACCCTACGCCGTGATTGGAAAAAAAACAAAAAAAAACAAAACTCGACATTGCACCCATATGATATAGGTATGAAACTATTATAGGTATATACAGAATATGTATACGTCGTCAAAAAAAAAAGAGAAAAAAAAAAGTCCGTAACTCACGGTTCCACAAACGATTTTCGACATATTACTATGGTGGTTTCTGAGTTTTTTTGTTTTTCAAATATATTGTATTTTACCGGGGGTTTTTTTTTCCATTGGTCCGTTGATATTTGTATACGACTGTTGCACGGTTTTTCGTTACTCGATTCTGAGCGTGCAGAGAACGAGTTTTACAATATTATATTCAATTTGTATCGTTTAATTAAAACCACAAACTATAATGAAATGAAGTGTATTGGTATATTATCTCGGTTTGCGACGTTTTCTTATCGGGGCGTAAAAATTCGAAATATCTCGATTTTCCGGTTCGAGGTATCGTGAAATTTCGAAAAACAAAAGTAGAAAACGTAAACGAGCCTTTAGGAATCGATTAAATGAAAAAAAAATATATACATTTAACGCGTTCAAATTAATGACAATAAACCGCCAATATTATAAAATCAAAAGTCGATGAATTAAATGTTGAGTTAATTTCGACTTATATTTTAGCTTTCTTAATTTTCGATTTTTTTTTTTTATTAACCTTTTGACCTATTCATTTTGATTTATATTACGTTAAGTTAATTACAACCTTTTTTTAATTTGAACGCGGTTTTAAGAGGACGTGATACGTTTTCACCGTCTTATAAACAAACAAAGTAGAAAATTGGCGTTCAGCAGGGACATCATTATGCAGTTAGTTTTAATAAAAAAGTAAATAGACCTATTATTAAATGTAACGATAAAAATATTGGCTATGCAACGTTGGCGTTATTATTATAGAGTTTAGAGTATTTTTAGGCGAGTTATAATTATATTAAAATATCGCAATTTATTAATGCTTACAACTCGTTTGAAAATTTACTTAATCGAAAAACGAGCACCACCGTTACATCACCATTATCAGCTTAACGGTCCATTCAGGACCTGCGCTACCACTAGTAAACCTTTTCATTTTTCCCTGACCAAAATCCAGTCTAACGTTGCATTTTCATTTGTCAATACCCTTTTCTATGGTGTTTTTCCACCTTGTTCTTGGTCTTCCAAGTGGACGTTTTTTATTTATTTTTCCATTGAGAACATTATTTAATATATCTCCAATAGCTTTCCGCACGTGTCCAAGCCGCTCTAGACGTTTACATCTTATGCATGTCAGTATACAGAGTATATTGGGTTTTCGTGTAGGCCATTATACAGCTCTTTACCACCGTTACATAGATAATGTTTTTATATTTAAGTGCGAGTATAGGTCAATACGCTCCAATATTAAAACCCTCAGCCCGGATGTACCTGCTAAACGAAAATTTGCAATATCGCACGTTTGTAGGGCGGAGACAGTACGTGCGGGTATCAAGTCCTCTTAATACCGCGTTAAAATTAAAAGACGTTGTAATTGACTTGACGCGACAAATTGAAAATTAATAGGTCGTTAAATTGGTAAAAAAAAAAAAAACTAAAAAGACTAAGTTATGTCAAAATTCATAAACTCATCATTTAACTCGTCGTTAATGCTCTGCCTCGGGTTCGTCGATATTTTCGTTTATATTCGCGTAACCGTTCGACGATGTTTTTCCGATTAAACCAGCTACACGCAGCTGTGTACACGGGTAAGTATAATGCGATATTTATGTAAATATTGTGTGTTTCATCAAAATCAACAACGGTACATGGTTATAAGCGGAATGAAAATAGGAAACCCGCGAGAGTTTCTATCGAATCAGTCATAAAATATATTATTGCATTATAATACGGTATTTGGAATCACGTATACCTGTATTCCGAGTGACGCATCCATCATCGTAAAGATCGCATCGTACAGAGGTGCATAACACCGCGGGCATTAATATCCCGAACACGTATGGCGACGAAAATAAAACAAAAACGATAATATGATCATTGTTATTGATATGCACGGGCTTAACGACAACGCAGGATTTTGGTTTTCTTTTTCTGTCCGTTCTACCGAAATATTATTCGTACGTGCCCATTACATTCAATCACTTGACTATGTTATATACGCTTTAATCGTGATTCACGGATTATAGCAATATAACATTATTATATTAAATTACGTCATTTTACGTTGTCGCGTGAGTCGTTTAGCGTTTTCACAAACCTGCAAAGAGCGGTCGACCGAAGGCATTCCGAAACATGTTTAATCGAAATTCGCTCAGAATCGTATTTTATCGAGGCACCCGGTGCCTATGTCGTTTTTCCCACAAAAATACACTCGATGAAAATAATCCAACTGTTCAGTAAGATCAACCAAATTGAATTTTTTTTTTTTGATTTAACAAAGGAAAACATTCTACAGACCGCATTGAACTCGGTTTTTCAATATTTTACTCTCAACATTTATTGTCAGTTAGAATAATAATTGATAGAAATATTTGAATTCGGAATTTAGACAATCGGAGTTCAATGTGGCATGTATAATGTTATTGCTTGTCAATAGTTATCACTATTTGCGCAGTCATTTTGATTATTGAAATCGGCCTGATACTTCCTTCTAATGGGTATCGGGTGGTGGATAAGTTGGAAAATCCTAGTGGTAATTGAAATATTAAAAACGATTTTTAAATTTTTAATAATTGGAGACAATAATTGAAAAACTGGCACCGGACTCCTTAAAATTAACACTGTAGCCTATAGGAATAGAAAAAAAACTCTACCTTTCCAACTCCCAACTCTCGACCTCCAACAGTAACAGTAAGCCAGTATTACGTATTTTTTCGTATATTTTTTTAAGCTCGCTTAATTTAAAATAATTTCAAAAGTGTACAAATTTAAAAAAAAAAAAACAATAACCAAAAATTTGGTAATTGATGAGATACATACATTGAAAAAAAATAGCATCTGTTTATGCCATTTGCCGTTTCATTAAGTAAAAATCCATTATAATTACGAAATTGCTGCTGATTTGTAAAACAACTTCATAAATACAGTCAAAGCTAAAACTAAGATTATTGGTTCACTAATTGACATTTTTGAAGTACTATGAGTAGGAACTTGTACAGATATTTGTTTTCCTAATAATAATAGTTAACATACTCTCGTACAAAACGCAGCTCAGGGAGCGAACTCTTATTTAAGAACTTCTAACAGTGGCACGTTTTCAACTTGAATTTACTTTGTTCTTACATGCTTACAAAAATAAAAATAATTTCATAATTGCAATCATTTTAATTATTTTTTTTTTAGTTTATTTCATAAAGAAAGCATATAATTGTATTATAGAACTCACACAACAAACCGAATCATTAAAAAGTATGTATTTAGAAGTTAACATGATATTTTGGTAACATTTTATTAATTTGTATAGAATACAGTTCTGTTTCGTCAACATTATTTACTTTATTGTTTGTATGATTGTTTATACTTCCCCGAACACGATACAATATGATCATAAGTAGTAAGAACGTATCGCTTTTGGTGCAGCGTGCTCTATTTCAATCCAAAAATATTTGCTGACATTTTTTCTCATATTTTCGGTCTTTTTCATTTATATTTTTTTTCTCATATTTTCCTTGTAAATCTGATAATTTAAAATGTATTTACGTATATTTTTCTTTTCTGTTTATTGCACTGTTACTAATCTGTACTTTTATTAATCGTTGTTTTTATAATTTTTTTCACGTATTTTTCATTTGTGTTTTTTTTTTTAACATAATTATAGATAAATTAGATAAGTTGTACTCTATATAAAGTTGAAATATTCTAGTCAAATGGTTATAAAGTTAACCCATAGGTACAGCAAAACTGGACCTAAATAGACTATAGACCTCTGACGAAGTGGAAACATTCGTAAGTCTGCTATACATAACTATAAGTAAACAAAACCGTCAAAAATGTGTATTAACATCTAGACCAAATCTGTTGTTTTATCGTAGAAGATGTGGTCGAGTTAGTAGCTAGGCCTTAGTTACAACCGATCATATTAACTGGATCTCATAGTGGATAAAATGACAGAGCTCAACTGATTTAATTTGGAAAAGAATACAGAAAAAAAAAAAGGATAAAAAGATTGGAAATTATTTAAAGGGGAAACAAAATAAGAACAGAAGAGAAAAATGAGTTGAAAAATAATTTTTTTTTAAATATAATATATTTTCTTTTAACTTACTACCACTAAAAACTCCAAGTGATTTACCATGACTTATATTTGATAAGCTATGTTTTTTCCTTTTTATCAACAAAAATGAACGTTTTTGACCCACTGTTTTTTATTAATGACAAAAAAAATGTATTCTAAATATATTGCTATTTATAATAATATTGATTTTTATTAATTTAACATTAATTAATTAATTAAAAAAAATTAATATTAATTTAACATAATCAGAGCGGTTTATAGAAAAAAACATTGAGCGTTTTTATTAGCTTTTGTAAAACTAATTTCAAGCGTTTTGGGTAAGTTTTAAAAAAATACCATTTGGTTCCTTTTTATTGGATGTATCAATATAAATTATTTCTAAGTTCCTAATCTACAAGCTAAATACATCAACATCTTTCAACTAAACTTTATAAAATTTGAATGTGACAGTAGTAGAAAAACGGAACTCTTTTTTATACGTAACATTCTTAACAAATACAAATGAATACAATTCTACCAAACCATTTTGTTACCTTCCATAAGGCTTTTTGATAAATGTTTTGTTGTGTAGGTTCAATATTTGATTTACATGCTCTATTCAGTGGTATATTTTCAACGTTTTTCTGAGAAGGGTTCTAAAAAATCAAATGTGTTAAAACTTTAGCTTTTAATAGATACCTCTTTTTTGGAAACCATTTGATTAATACTATACCGGTGTTTCGGGAAAGGGATTTCCAGAAAATGTTGAACCGCCCTCTTCCTTTGAACTGGCTAGTTTTATTGAACAAACCTAAAAACAAAATTAAAATGAACGAAATTATGAACTTAACAATATTATGTATATACGTACGTTAGAACAATATAAACTCAAGTTGAAAACGTGTTACTATTAGGAATTCTTAAACGAGAATACGCTCTTTGTGCTGCGTTTTGTACAAGTTACAAGTTAATAACTTTTAATGGGAAAAAAAATATTTGTACAAGTTCCTAATTATAGTGCTTCACAAATGCCAATCAGCAAACTAATAGTCTTAGTTTTAGTTTTGACTGTATTTATAAAATTGTTTTATAATTCAGCAATTATTTCGTAATTACAATGGATTTTCACTTACTGGAAGCACAAATGGCATAAACAAATTCAGATTTTGTTTAAATTTTTAACAATGACATGACTAAATAACTATAAAAATGACTGTGTTTCATAAATTACTGAGTTTCAACTCAAAATAAATACAACTTGGATATCTTTGATGTTATAACGTGACGTCCAGGACTTGTTTTGTTTTCCAACGGCCATTCCATCCCAGAACTCCGAAAGCGACAGGTATCAACTCTCAGCTGATTTGACTCACAGTCTTTTTACTCTACGGCGGATTACATACAGCGTCGCAACGAACAAGATTAGAGGAACAAGGAATCCGAGGGTTAAACCAGCCGGCTCCCGGCTACTGGATAAGGATTTCAGACCCGTGGATTCCGTGAATCGGGTCGCGAATACCATGACATTGACGTGGGGTGACTATTAAATTTTTAGTTAACCATAACATTATGTACGGGGATTTAATGAGAGATTGGCCCACATCCTGTACAACGAGCACACTGTTTGAATAATTATTGTAAATGTGTTTAAATATTCGACTTTTTACGTTCAATAAACGATTGCAGAAGTGGCAACGTTTTGTTATAACAGACCATTGATTGCTATTGGTTAAACTGAAAAAAAAAGTTACCAAATATGATAGCAAATAAGTCTGTACGGATCAAAAAATCACGTTACAATGTACGACAATGTTTGATTTCATACATTACCATTCAAATTGTTTATTGTTGTCTATTCTTCGATGAAACATACAAGTCACTCCAAAGCAAAAAAAAAAAAAAAAACAATAAACAATAATCGATTTTCAAAAATATACTAAATCTTTAAACACGACATATACCATTCAGATAAGAAAATTTACTGTAATTTCAGAGTGAGTAAATAATTTATAATAATAATAACATAAAAGAATTGCACCAAAAGACTTAACGACACATTTTATGATCACTTCAGGGTGAACTCTTGTGTAATCATATACTCACAGTTACGACGAGTTAGTCTAATCGATATTCATTTATGTGATTACAAACCTTAATGTCAAAAATATATATAACAACACTAATCTTCAGTACCTATATATCACACTGGGGTGTACCAAGAATTTTTCTCTTCAAGGTTCTACTTTATTTTTTTATTTGTGCAAGTGTACCTAATAATAAAATTGAATATTTTTTCATGGAATAATTTACGGAAATTCAAGTTAAAGAGGAGCAGTGATTTAAAACGAATAAAAATAATTTATGTGTGAGTAAAGCATTTTCATTTTTTCGTATAGATTTTTGTTGAATTAAAAATGGTATGATGGTAAATCATCAGAATCTAATTAGGAACAAATAAAATCCTATAGTTGATAAGAAAAAAATCAATATTTATAGAGATTTTTAACCATGAAACTCAAAAGGATGTATATAGATAATATCTATATATCTATTAGATATATAAAAAATAATTTTAGCGTAAAATATTACGCTTCGCGGCTAATGTCTTTTTTTATCTTGATTTTTTGCTTATCAACAATAGGATCTTACTTGTTCTTGATTAGATTCTCGTGATTTACATTCATAGTATCTTTTGTCCAGCGATCATTTAATAATAAAAAAAAATATATATATATACTAATTATGTTATTCTTCGCCTAAAATCACTACTCGTGAACCGGATTTTTTTTCAATAGAAAAATATTCGATGTACAACAGTAGAAATGAAAGAAAAAAATATTGTCCACCTCGATATAACACACTTATGTATCATAGGTTTTTGTGGAACCGGTACGAATGTATATCGATCATTATCCGGTATGTAAATTATCGTTATCTCATCCGATTTCTATGAACCTAATGGTTTTTTGTTAGGTAATGCGAAACACGTCGCTGTGATAATATTATCGTCGGCGAGAGAGGGAACTGTATTCTAGGCAAAAGTCAAAAGCCAAAACTTCTAAAGGTCTCGAGGGTTTATTTTAACTCTATAGAAACGTATTAACTTATTCACGAAGCGACTGTTTACCTTACATTAGGTATAATATGTATACGTAGAGTAAGTTGTACATTCCTATGTAACCATGTAAATGCATAGTACGACTGTACTGCGCGGCGGCTAGGTACCCCAGGTACCTATTCGGTTATTCGTATAAGTATACGATGTCTTTTAATGGAAACACTGAGTGATTCTTCCGCGCGCGTAAACGCATTGTTCTAGAAACCGATAGTGGTGAGAACGAAATTTCCATGCGAATGGACAATAAAGTTTGCATATAGCGATCCCATCGCGGAGATGTTTCGGCGAGAACAAATGGCCATTTTGAAAAAAAATTGTATAAACACATAGAGAGGACGGCCGAAAACCAGTTCGACAATTTGAGGGCATTCCGAAATATATTCAACCGAAATTCGCTAATAATCGTATTTAGGCGTCCGATGCCAATGTTGTTTAGCCCACAATAATACACATAACAGAAATAGTGTTACTGTTAGTAAAACCAAACAAATTTAATGTATTTTTTTTTTATTTTTTTTTTTTTGATTTAATAGAGGTAAACATTCTACAGACCTCATTGAATTCAGTTATTCAATGTATCATTCTCAACGTTTATAATGCGCCTTAATTTGAAAACCATCACCGGGCCCTGTAACAATAACATCGTAGCATACAGATATAGAAAAAAAATAACTGTACCTTCCCAACTTCCAAATCCCAACTGTAACCATTGCGAGGTAGTATTAGGTATTGTTTCGTATATTTTCCTTTGGCAAGCGCATTTTAAAATAATTTCAGAAGTGTAAAAATAAAATAAAAAACCAAAAATTTAGTAATTTATGAGGTACATACATTGAAAAAACAAATAACATCTGTTGATGCCATATGTCGTATCACTAGGTAAAATACCATTAAAACTACGAAATAATTGCTGAATATTGTAAAAAAAACTTTATAAGTACAGTCAAAACTAAAACTTAGACTATTAGTTTAATGATTGTCATTTGTGAGACATTATGATTATGAACTTGTACAAATATTTTCTTCTTACCAATAATTATCAACTTGTAACTTAAAAAAAAACGAAGCTTAGAAAGCGAACTTTTGTCTAAGAATTTCTAATAGTGACATGTTCTCCACTTAAATTTATTTTGTTCATACATACGTATATAAATGAATTACATTTTTCAATCAATTTCAATCATTGTGATTTTTTTTTGATTTTTCCATGATGCAATCAAACAATGCAACTAATGAAGTCACACAACAAAATGTTCATCAAAAAGTTAGTATATGGAAGGTAACATAATTGTATGGAATAATAATTATACTTGCCCGAACAAGATACAAAATAATCATGAATAGTAAAAATGTATTGTTTCTGGTGCAGCGTGTTCCAATTTGATCAAAATCATTTGCAGATCTTTTTTCCGGTTTTTTTTTTTTATGATCTTTATCCGCGTACATTTATTTTCTGATATTTGTACAAATATTTTAACATGCTGATTTCTTTCGTGAAAAGTGGCAATAAAAAAAAACAATTAAAATTTAAAAAGGAGTTATATAAGTTATAAAATAATATTTCTAAAACTATTTTTAAAAAGTAAATGAAAAATTGTGCTTTGAATAAAAAGGTATTAAATTATAGGAATCCATAGCATATTTTATAATAGCGACTATTTGTGTTGCCGTTCTGTATTTTTATTTCCCATTGTTTTTATGAATTTTTTCACATATTTTTCTTCTCTGTTCTTTTCTAACATAATTATATAAAAATAAGTTAAATTACATTCTATACATAGTTTCATGGTTCTAGTCGAATGGTCATGGAGTTAATATTTAAACCCATAGGTACAGTAAAACTGGACCTAAATAGACCTCTGGCGAAGTGGAGACACTCGTAAGTCTGGTATACGTAGCTATAAGTAAACAAAAACAATGGCTATTAACGTCTAGACCAAATCTGTGGTTTGATCGTAGATGTGGTTGAGTTAGTAGCTATGTCTTAGTTACAACCGGTTATATCACCTCGATCTCACAGTGAATAAATGACAGAGCTCTACTGCAATCACTTGGAAAAAAACAAAAAAAAAAAAAAAATATATTTATAGTAAAAAAATAGGAAATTATTTAAAGAGGAAAAAAAATAAGAACGGAAAAGAAAAGTGAATTGAAAAATAATTGTTAAATAATAATAATTTGTATACATAATATAGTTTCCTTTAACTAACTACCGTTAAATGAGACAATCCAAGACATATGATTGGTTTAGACTTATATTTTTATTTTTTTTTACCAAAAATAGTAAACGCGTGTGACCTACCATTTATTACCTACCGTAGTAAAAACATGGGGTGTTTTTTTAAATTCTGTAAAACTTATTTTTAAGCGTTTTGGGCGAGTTGTTAAAAAAGACCGTTTGGTTCATTATCATTGGATATACCAAAATAAATTGTTTCTAAGTTCCCAATCTACGTGCTAAATACATCAACATCCTTCAACTAACCTTTTTTAAAATTCGAATGTTATATTATTAGGGAAACGGAATAGTTTTCTATACGTAACATTCTATACAAATTAATAAAATTATACTCTCCTATTTTGGTACCTTCCATATAATAGTTTGTTGTTAATTTTTTTGTTATGTGGGTTCTATAGTCAATTTGCATGTTAGCTTCAGTGGCGGATTTTCAACATTTTTCTGAAAGTGATCCTAAAAAATCATATGTTTTTAAAAGGTTTCTTTTATTAGATAACTCTTTTTTGAAAACTATTTTGTTAAAAATATATCAGTGTTTGAAGGGTTCAAGAACATTTGAACCACCCACACCCCTTAAACTCACCACTGGCTAGTTTTATTGAATAAACCTAAAAACAAAATGAAAGAACATTATGAACTTAACCATATGCACATACGTATGTTGGAACAAAATAAATTTAAATTGAAAATGTGCAACTATTAAGAATTCTTAAATAAGAGTTCGCTTTTTGAGCTTTGTTTTGTAAAAATTACAAGTTAATAATTTTTAGTAGGAAAAAAAAATTCATACAATTTCCTAATTGTAGTGCTTCACAAATGCCAGTCGGTAGACTAACTAAATTAGTTGTATTTATCTAGTGTTCATAAAATTGTTCAACAAGTCAACACAAATTTCGTTAATGGTTTTTTACTTAATGGAAGCACAAATGGCACAAATAGATTCAAATTTTGTTTAAATTATCAACAATGACAAGATTAACTATCTATACAAATGACTCAGTGTCATAAATTACTGAGTTTCTGTTTTGTTTCTCTTATATAGTTTAAAACTTTTAAAATTATGAAAATTAATTTAGAATGAACAGATGTGCTAAAAAAATAAACGTAAAATATATCTGATACTGCTTTTTAATCAAAAAAAAAAAAAAAAGAATAAATAATCAAAACTATTTTAATTAGTTATTCATTTAATATGGTTGAAAAAGTGCTAAGATAATACTCGTATTCAAGTATTCGTTATTTTATTTTTCACAAAGCAATGCTAAATTTAATAGGCTTGCCTTACAAAGATAGTTGACAGATCAAATACAACTTAGATAACTTTAGTATTTTAACGCGACGTCCGGAAACTGTCTTTTGGTCCAACGGTCATCCCATCCCGGAACTCAGACAGCGACAGGCATCAACTCTCAGCTGCTTTCACCCTCTGCGCATGATCCTTCTGCGTCACGGTAGAGTACATAAACTCCATCATCCGGAACCGGATGAGAGAAACAGAGAGACCGAGGCGAGTGCCGGCCGGCTCGCAACTGACTTGAACGGGGATCCAGACCCTCGGGTTCGAAGAATCGTGTCACAATACCGTGGCAATTAACGTAATGTGACTATTTTATTTTATTTTAGTTATAAGATTATGTACGGGGATGTAGTGAGAGATTGGTCCACATCCTCCACAGCGAGCGTATTGTTTGAACAATTATTGTAAATTTATTTGAAAATACGTCTTGTTAGTTCAATAAACGATTGTAGATGTGGGAAAGTATTATTACCATTATTTTAGGTTAAACTAAATTTACTTTATGTGATAACTAGGGCTAGGATTTAATTACATTGGTATGTTGTTTTGTATCTTTTGATTACTGTTTTTGTGAATTGTGTCCATGAATTGTCTCATGTTGAGGTAAATGGCAGTGTTGTTTTTTTTTTTTTTTTTGCATACCCTGAATAAAATGCATATCATTGTATATTTCAATAAAAAAAACCGAAAAATGCATGTTTTATGGTATATATATTTATACAGCATTTAATCGCTATATACAAATAACCGAAATGCAATTTAATTTATCTTATCTTATTGAAGGTTTTATGTTGTACAATTTACAGGTATGCTAAATAAAAGTATTTTTCTAAAAGTAAGTCGATATTTTATAATCGGTGCATATCGTGTTTGGTGTACCGATTTTAAAATTAGAATATGCCTCACTTTCACTTAACGAGAGTTCAGGGATTGTTTGAAACACCCAATTCAAACTAGGCCACGATAAAGAAAAACTTGCCGAAAAAGTCTATGAAATTATAAAAATTGTTATAGAAAAAAATACAGGACTAAATTCCATATTTACGTTACCTAATGTTTTAAATGGAAATAATCTGGATGAAGGTTTCAAATATCTAACTCACGGGGAAGTAACACAACTTAAATACGCGAAAATTACGTAATATAATGTCGAACAGTGTTTTAATAAATATAACAACATCTCAAGTTCTAACGGGAGATCGTTAACTTTTGAAAATTTAAAACATATAACCGTTTCATGTAAAACATTTAAATAACGTTAATAAGAAATTGTAGAACCGTAGTTTTTAAATTTTAGAACTATTTATATTGGTATATTTTTAGATTATGGGAAACCTTCATTCTGATGATTTCCATTTAGACATATTACGTAACATAAACATAGATATTAGTCCCGTATATTTTTCTAACACATTATTTCATTTTACGTTGACCGTTCCAGCAAATGTTGCTTTTTTTTGACTTATAGTTTGAATTTGGTGTTTTCAACAATCCCTTAACTCTCGTCGAGTGAGGCATATTCTAATTTTAAAATAGATATATCATACACGACGGAAGGATATAGTACTACCGATTTCGATTACAGCGAACCTGATAATAACCAAAAAAAGGCCACGCTAACGTACAAAATGTAGACAAAATCTCAATTCCAATATCTTTCTCTATCTTACGCAAAATATCGGTTTCATACCAATGGCGATTTTACGACATAAATATATTCCGAAACATTAAATTAAATCCCTTTTTAGTTTCTAGGTTTTAATCGGTATAGTTAGATTTGTATGTTGAGGTATTAGAACATTTTTAGAACTGTAGCAGTAGAACAGTAGTGTAGTAGAACATATTTTTTTCATGTAGGAAATGTATGTTTCTAAGTTTGGTGTAATTATAGTTTAACTATTATTAGTTGTTATCGAATCTCTCGATTTACTATGCCCTACACAAAACACGATATGCCGTAACTATAAAACATCGAATTACTTCTAGAAAAATACTTTTATCTAGCATACTTATTAAATTGTACAACATAAAAAAATTTTTACACAAAAAAAAATTAACATCATTGTAAAACCAATACATTCCTCGCTCCACTCAAAATCTAAAGTAGGTAAATAAACATACTAATACATTTAAATCCTAGCCATATTGATTAATTCTTGTGATTTAAATTCATGGTATGTTTTTTTCAGCGATCATTAACCCGTAAACAAAATACTCATCCAAATTGTATTAATTACCTAAAATCGCTGCTCACGAAACGGATATGTTTTCCGTCATATTTCATTCGATAATACAACTACAAATTAATATAAAGATACGTTCGTAAAAATAATATATTGGTTTTATCCATCCCGATTAATGGATAAAATTCCGGGATCCCAGGAACCTGAAATTGTTTTGCTTTCGAAAATCCCGGGATTGACAAATTAATAATCCCGGAATTTTCGGGATTGAGTATTATATATGTAATGTATATGTATACTAAAAAGAAAATAATTTTCAAAATGTATATATTATTTTTTTTTTTAATCAATCTGAAATGGAATCCCGGGATTGTCAAAGTATTTCAGGATTGTATTCACTAATCCCGATATACAATATACACGTACTTATAATATAGGTTTTTGTGAAAACGGTAAGAATGTAAATCGATCGTCATTCGGTATGTACATTATCGTTATCACAGACGATTCCTATGAACGTAACGTTTTTTTTTTTTTTATTGGGTAATGCGAAACTCGTCTTTGTGATGATATTATCGTCCGCGACAGAGGGAAATGTATTCCAGGCAAAAGTCAAACGCCAAAACGTCTAACGGTCTCGAGGGTTTATTTTAACTCTTTAGAAACGTATTAACTTATTCACGAACCGACTGTTTGCCTTACATTATGTATAATACGTATACGTATAGTAAGTTGTACACTCGAAATCTTTCGGCTGAAAAACTCCGGTGTAACCATGTAAGTGCATGGTACGACTGCAGTGCGCGGCGGCTAGGTATCTATTAGGTTACCCGTACAAGTATACGATGTCTTTCAGCGGAAACACCGAGTGATTCTTTCGCGCGCGTAAACGCATTGTTCTAGAAACCGATAGTGGCGAGAACGAAATTTCCACGCGAATGGACAATAGAGTTTGCATATAGCGATCCCATCGCGGGGATGTTTCGGCGAAAACGAATTGGTACACGGGCAACTGACAATCGTTTTTCCAGACCTGTTTATTGGGGGTGAAAATTGTACTTTCGTTTTAGACGATTATCAATTACACCACTGTACGCAAGAAAAAAGCAAGAAATACTTTGCACCGCGGGTAGACTACTGTTGAATTCGAAGACAGGAGAGCGATGAAGGCGTACAATATTAATACAAACAGTGAGTAGGTATTTTCTAAAATGTCAATGATATACACTTTCCATATTATATGCTTCCGAACAGTATTGTACCTTGTATTGTATTCAGGGTCGTATTTAAGGAGAGGGCACGGTTTTTATGACTGACATTATGATTTTGTTTTGTTTCGTATCATATCATGGACATTGTTTTCGTTTTTCGTTTTTTTTTTTGTATTTTCATTCAGTACACTTAAAACCGTTGCAAAAATGTTCTCCAAGTGGTGAACTGCAGCTATTTATCCGTTACCTTTTCTACCAGCGCCAAATACCAATTACCGGCAAACAATATATTAGCGACGCTCGATCATCTGAATTATCAGCAGTAATTTATTTGTTTACAATACGGGTCGTGGCCCAAGTACAAAAAACCAACAGTCAAGTGTATAATTACATGCTTGTAAGTAGATTAGTTACACGTTATTAATTTAACAGAAATGACGGGTCGTTGGCATCGGGTCGGGGCTCCTTGGCAATACGCATCATCCCAAACATCGGTTGTTTACGTGAACAGTGTTATCTAAACTTTGTGCGCTATGAAATCGCCGTATTGTGTTTTGCACGTTAACGGTATTTATACGGAAGAATATAATAATATTTAGTAGGCACATGCGGTTAACGGTTTTTAACACGGCAACCGCGGCTCGTATTACTTGTACAAATACTCGTACCGCATTAACATAAATATTTTTGTCGTTTTCTAAATAATCGTGTTTAAGCGCCCGGTTAACGAATGATTTCTAAATATTCGTCGAAAAAAAAACTCGCGATTTGTTGTCAGTTTGTCAGAAGTCAGTAGTATTTTTTTTTTTTTTTTTGGTTTTTCTAATATTTAGAAATATTTTCAAATATCCAAATTTCAAAGCCGAGCTAATATCAGCACCTTTTTAACGTACGGAGTGAACCCTTCGGTGTATTTTTACAACCGAAATTAGTGTTTCCCGAAAAAAAAAAAAACGCAACTCCAATATTATTATGGAGTTTATTCTCGTCAAAACCCGTAAACGGACACGCGTTATGCACCATTAGTTACGATTTTGTAAAAAAAAAAGTTAAATTTTTTTGGATTTTTTTTTTCTATACCGTCTACAAATAGGTAAACGGCATAAATTTATATCTATATAACAGTAATAAACGTACTATTTGAGTTATTGCAGCTTTAACGTCCTAATATATACATAGACAACGTATATTATTATGATATTTGCAAATTCGTCTATTTTAGATTCTGAACAAAGCCAGGAATGTATTGTTTTTACAAGGTTGTTTATTTTATTTTTTTATCTGTGAACAATTTTTCTGCCAGAAATTTCGCTCCCCAATTTACTTTAAATAAATTTTGGTGATAAAATTGTTGATTTTCGTCAACCCGTTGACGGGATATTTAACATTGGAGTTTAGGGGGGGCGTAGAAGTAGAGTATTATTTGTGTGGTAGCACGGCGTGTGACCTTTTATAAGTACTCTCTACCTAAACTTAAAAGTAAAATATCTCGTCAACGGGGTGACGGAAATCAAAAATTTTATCACCAAAATTTATTTAAAGTAATAATCCGTCCGTTTTTAATAATAGGATATTATTCGAAACACTGAAGTTGGAATTATCATGGAAAACTCTTTAAATGTTATAAAAAAATTTAAGTAATCGAACATATCGGCAATATTTTCAAATTCCGAAACTTAGAATTTGAATAGATGCAAAATTTAACGAAGAAAATCGAGTGAGCACACTTACTTAATCACCCTGTACATAATGCCAATATATCACCTTGTATATTATGGTAAAATAATTACACATAATATGGCATATATAATGTTGACAAAGAAACACTAATAACTGAAATCCGCTCAGAATCGTTTTTCGTTACCAATGGTTAATCGTTGCGTACAAACATACATTCAATTTTCCTTCTGCCTTCCCAATTTTTCACCCACAACAGTCGTGGCTCGCCCACTTACGAAGTATGTCCATTTTTTTCAGTATTCACTTGCAATGTCCACGTATAATATTTATGTAGAGTATATTTTTAAATATTCGCATTCGAGGTAATAACACTTTAATATGGAGGATAATATATTTAAGTAGATACGCTCGATATTTTGAATATAGTTTTAAAATACTAGAATTATATTATCGTTTGCCTCCAATATTTTTGAGTGTAAAACGACTATATACTCTTTGATTTCCAAATGGAAACCTATTTAAAAATCCCATAAATAGACGTAGTATTAGTACCTATAATTAAATATTGAATTTGATAGTTTTGTTTTCCATCGACCCGTTAACGAATTATTGAACTTAAAAGTTTGGGTAGGAATATTAATGTAACATTTTTAGAGCTTCCTGTTTCTTAAATTGCTTATTGCTCTAATTGCTTAGATTACTCTATAGATTCGCGTTATATATGGTGCTCTTGAAAAATAGTCAAATCTTATATTTTCAAATTTATGAGAAATTTCACGACGAACCGTGATACTCAATTTCTCATTTTAAATATAATGTATTTCTTATTTTATGTTTAATTATTTTGATTTTTTGTTAAAATTCGGCCAAAAAAAAAAATTATATATAAAAATCTAATCTTAAATTTTCAAACAATATTTATATTATACTATTATAGCTTTAATATTATTTTCAAACTATCTAGAGATTTTCAAATTATTTTTTAGCATTTAATATTTTTGAGTTTAATTTAGGTTTGAGCGGATAAAATTGGCTGAATGGAGTGCTTCAAAATTAAACATGATGTTCATTATTGAACTTATATGTAAAAACAAAAGAGCTGGATTATTTAATTTTAATCATCTTCCACGTCGTTGAGACCTGAACGCACCAGTATGTTAGATTAGGGCTGTAGTTTCTTTTGTTGATTAAATCGATTTTATTAGTTGGAGGAAAACGTTAAGTATCTACCTGAAGCATTTTATTTCAAAACAGAAAATTGGAGACTGAAATAAACCGCGGATCGGTTTTCATTTACCGGCGAAACCGATTGTCCCCAGTTGGTTAGGTTAGATTAGGTTAGTCGTTTTCAATACTCGACAATATGTCCGTTTACGCTAAACACGAATTTCGGCAGTACGGATTTTTCTGACAAACGCGTGGTTTCGAATCGAAACAATGAAAATATTCGGTGTCTGATTTGAAATTAAAATAATGGTTGAATATTACAAGAGAGACAATCACGCGCGTGGGAAATTCGTGTACGATAAATAATTAATGGTCGGGTGTGTAATATTGTAATAATACACACACACACACACACACACACACACACACACGTCACTCACGGGTATTTATAAACGCACATAACAATATCGTGAAGTCATATTTAATCGAAATCATTTCGCACGTGTCGCTTAACGGGATATCGATTACCGTCGAAACGTTTCGGAACGAATACAGAATGAAACGAAAATAAAAAAAACCGTAAACACTGCGAAAAATCGCGTACGATTGTGATTATGTACTTTCTGTTTACAACGCGCAAAATTAATAATATTACGTGTCGGATATTATATAAAAAAAAAAAATCTGTAACTACCTATTTTCCATAACGGGTAGGCCACTGTAATATATATCGACGGTGTTTTGTTAAAAGGGCCGTCGATCGAATTTCACTTTTTTGTAGGAAGCAAAAAAAAAAAAAAACAGCGAAACAGTTTTTAAGCATGTTCATCACAGAAAACAATAAAATTACTCCATGTAATCAACCTTGTACACAAAGTATTTACATGCATTGAATGCGGTACACGCCCTTTAACGCAATCAGTGTTGATTTAATTATATTCTAAAAGGACGGCTAGATATCTTTTAGTCGACATTGCCAACTTAATTTTTTGTGCTTAAATACCAAAAACGTTTTATTCTTTTATTTTTAGTGGCACACGATCTTTTAACAAAACACCGTGGAATTATGCAGGTGGTAAGTACATATCAGATATATGGAGCCTATATCTTTTATAGGCGATAATTTAAAATTTATTTTATCCCGAAAACAACGGTAAATCGTTTCAACTAACGAACGATTGCGAACGGTGTTGTATTAATTGAGTTTTTCCCCTCGTAGCTGCCCGGTTATCCGGAAATCATCAAAAATAAAACCGTGACGACAGTTCATTCAATTTTATAGGAAAAATGTTGGCAGTATAGACATTTCTTTCAACTGAAGAATTACCGGCCGGAAAATGCGCATCTTTGAAGGTACGATGCGAATTCGATGAATTCAACGGACTTTTACTTACCGAAAAAAGTGTTGTCCGAGAAACAATAAAAAGGACCTGGGGGTTGAACTGTTAATATTTTTGAAAAACGTTTCAAGTACCACCGCGGGCAGATATTAAAATACCGCGTAAAAAATTCGGAGCGTTCAGTTCGCCAATAAAATGTTTAAATTAAAATCAAAACACGAAGTTCAATTTTTCCCAATATTTGGGAATTCTTAACTATTAAGTTCTAAAAAAAGTAACATCTAGAGAAAAATCGTTACGGTATAAAAATTAGTACCTACTAGAATTTTATAGATTGAATATTGGAGCATAGTTTAACTATTACCAAAATGTTTTCTCCGTGTTCGGAATGTAAAAACTATCAGTTTTCGTGCCCGAACGTTTCAATGACAATAATAACTATTCGCAATTTATGATGTCCCTTTTTGTTCTAGAAAAAAACGCATTACAACGGGAAGAAAACAAAAAGCGAAGAATAAAAATGAAACCAATGATGCGTCACCGTTCTGCGGGTAGCGGTTATGCGTATACGCGTAGTAACTACACCGAAGTCGTACGAAATTATTCATAAAATTCCGTCCGAGAATATTATTATTACTACAGGTATTCATATTGTTTGAAAAATTGCCCTTTTATAAAATATAAAAATATTCTCTGCGGTTATGTAAATATTGTTGCGCACGGTAATGTATAGCGAAAACATTCTCGCGTAGGTATATTTTTTTATTTAGTTTTATTTTTTCTGTAACTCAATTGGCGCACAGAAACGCATAAATTATCAACCATTTAGCATTTAGAAATACAAAGTTCGTCCAAATGATAAACGGTTTTTTTTTTTTGTTCGGGCAAGTATTATATTCGCGTGACGTATCCGGCTAAATTCTCCGGGACTCGTTTTATAGGTAAACACGCGTCGTCATGTCTTTTGGATACAATATATATTTATTATTTTATTTTTTTCCACATTGTCCTTGCGCGAATATCCACAAGGCAATATAATTATTGTATATATATACCTATAAATTTAAAAAAAAAAAACATTGTACGCGAACACATAGCGCGCGGACCGCTCGCGGTGTCGACAATAAAATGGTCAGAAACCCGCAGTTTAGAATGGTTTTTAAAACGCAATATTTCAAAAGTCCCACATGTTATGATGGGTACTAATCGCCTAATTTTATAGAGGCCACCCTTAATTTTCGACGAATACCGTGATTTTTATTCGGAAACTATCACGAAAATTCTCTCCGCTACCACATCGTATACAACGTCCTTCGATTTGTAAGACCCTCGTCTCATGTGGCTGCACTAAACCGCAGTATAAAACGTAAAGTATATTCGTAATTAGAGGCCAATCCGACAAATTCGATTATGATTACTGGGCGGTCAATAGGCCACCTAAATTACCTGCTACCTCGTCGAACGTGGGAATTAAAAACAAAACAAAACGATGGTATCGCTCACGAGTAGGCCACTGTCGTACATGGGTAGTTGGGAAGATATAATAGATATATAACATAATTTTGTTTATACACTACATGAAGTTGCGAACGAAAAACATATTATTCTGAACCAAGTTGTATTAGTCGTATTGCCAAGGTAACTCGGAAATCGACAAAAATAAAATAACATAAAAATAGAGGGAAAGAAGTGATAAACTTCTAAAAATATTGATCAATGTTTCAAAAAATAGAGTACCGTCGGGCGGAAAATCCGTAAATCGTAAGTAACGGCACGAACAAATCGGAATATTTTTACTACCCGTCAAAGTGTTTTCAAGTGAAATAAAAAAAACGCATCTTTGTAAAACTAATAGCTTCTTTGGCGTACTCAAAATGCAAAAACGGCTAAACGAACCGGCCGAACGTATCGAAAATCTGCGGTATTATGACGATCGGTGCGCAGGTTTGAAAAATGTCGTTTTTCAAGATAGTGAGAGAATACAGAATATAGACGGTGCCAAGTACGTTTTATAGACGCGTTGAAATAATAATAATAATAATAATAATAAAAAAGAAATAATAATACTGCGGAAGAGACGTTGACGGAGGAATAGACGCGGTAACACGGGAGGAATCGTGCGGATTTTATTTCCTTTTCTTTTTCTGTTTTTGCCGGGACCGGCGGTTAGGTTTGAACAAGCGGTTACGACGGCGACTACGAAACAATAGGCCGCACAACGATCGGCAGCAGCCATCCGAACGAACGCACAATGCAATATACCAACTGAAATAAAACTATATTCACTACCACGTCGTGGTATTTTTTTGTTTGTATTTTTATGTGGGCTCCGGGAACGGCGAAGAACTTTGTCAGACCTTTGAACCTCGTACCGCGAATTCTAAATCCACCGAACGACCAGACGTTCTGTTAAACGGCCGTAAACTACACGTAACGAAAATATTATAGAGACTCGTAGAATAATATTATTTATGCATATATTATGTATATCTTTGTGTTACACTCATTTTGTCTATTATCATTAACGTATATAAGGTGGGGTCTTATTTTTTTCGGGCATCCTTTATATTTTCAATAACTACTGGAGAGATTTTAACGAGGTTTTTTGCGTGGACCGGAGAAGGTTTATAGCTATTGAAATTTCTAAAATTCAACCTTTAAAAGATAGCTGACAGAGATTTTTGTATTGTACGGTATAATTCTAGTTAATTGGGTTACCTTGATAACAAAGTAAATATTCTTAATTTTTTTGTTGATTACGTGGTACCTATGGTATCTACTGAATATTGTTTGTTAATTCAGATACAAAAAAAAAACAAAAACAAAAAATGATAGTATTAATAAAATCTATCAATAGACAACTATAACCGGGACAACTATATTATATAAAAATGAACGTTAGTCAGTATGTATGCCTTCGCAAACCGTTCATGACGTTGATGACGCTTTTTGATAAATAATCAAAATTTTCCCGGAAATATTATATGCTTTAAGAGAGCTTTAATACTCAACCCCTTCACTCTAAAAAATCATCTTTTGTAATGAAAAACGATATTATTATTACACGATTTTACATGTTGTTTATTTATTTACCTTGGAGACGAGAATCTGGCAACAAACCCTAGCAAAATAACATATGTTGATGATGACATATAGTCCCCCGTAAGACTACTTACTATCCACTTATATTTTCCCGTCCAATACACTAAGCAAAATGGGAAAAAAGGTAAAAAGAATTTAAAAAAAACACACGGACAACAACTAGCATTTTCAGCACGATTATCCTTTTCCTATATATGTAATATAAAAACTAAGAAATAAAAGTTGTAGGTAATACAAAAAAACAGCACTGCGAAGCACTGTTGAAGCCGCGTTATTCAACTAGTAATTTATAACATCTGTAATGTAACACTTTAGTAACCAACAAACAACAACGCGTAATATAAATAATTTGTATACGGCGATAATTTTGCTTTTCGTATAATAGTTAAAACAAAAAAAACGAAATGATCAAATGCCACTATTATTCGTCTCGCCCTTAATCGCATACTATCTAAACTATGCAGCTATCTTTGACGTCTAACCTATCGTTATTTTTTCTAAAGGATATTAAATAATATTATATATGACGAGATGCCGATAATAACAATTGACGCGTTGAACCGAATACTAAAAATTTTGTTTGATCATTATACTTTACACTGTAACTGATATAAAATGCGCATCCTGAAAATATCTAAAGAGTCCGAGATATTCAAAATTGACCGTACTTCGTCATAATATTTTATTATTATTATTTTTGTTTACATACTTCGCACCACGGTAAAGTCAACTCTTATAGATGGGAATTTGAGACGCTAATTGGGACAGATGGTAATTAAGTACATAGTATACTGAAAACAACCATTAATCATTCTTCTTCAAGTCTTCGTCTTCATTTCAACTATTTGGTGTCCATCGTTCTAAACTTCTACTTGACCCGATATTTCACCTCGCAAACACAGACTGTCCTTAGGTGTCCCCATATATTTCTCAAACATACCCAACCGTCTTTTTTTTAGGTTTTTTTTATTTTTCTCATTCCTCCTACGTTTATTTCATTACAGTTTTTGTTGATCCCTCTATCCTCGTGATATGCATAAGCATTTTCATTTTCATGGGTACCCAAGACGCTCTCATTCATAAATAAGTAGCTCGTGGTTGACCGTATCAAATGTCTTTTTGAAATCGGCGATTATAACGTCTATTTGAGAACCAAACTGGATATTTTCAACAATGTAAGATATAAAGGAAACACTATTAATGCAAGTAGATTTACCTGGCCTGAATCCATGCTGCTCATCAATCAATATATGATAAAGGCTACGTATAATGCTCTGATAGAGGACAGATACAAATATCTTGGCATTTTATGAGATTATGGATATCTATCTATAATAAGTGATATCAGAATTATCACCGGGTTTCAAAATAGATGTTACAGAACAGATTTTTCAGATTTTAGGTAACGTACCTTCATCTAAAGACCTTCTAAACAGTAGGAACAACGGATAAAAAACAGACAAGCGGTAGTTGAAGAGAAAAATTGCATGTTCTCACAGAAAATACTTGACTTTTCATACCCTTTCAGACTAATATATAATAAAACTATTGCGGACCTAAGTACCTGAATCCTTATGAAAAGAAATTACATTATTATGTAACGGGGATAAGTGGCTTTAGTGGCGGAGTTTTGCTGCTCATGGGCGTTATTCAACCATGTCAATTATTAAATTTTCAGTAGGAAGGAAAATTAGTGTTTATAAAATGTTTGAATCGATATTAAATTTTTGAAAACGTTTTAGTTGAAACGCCTTTCTTGACGATCCGAGGCCATCCGATCTTGACGGCCATTACTCGTGTTAGATCGAACTGCAGTTCGGCTATACCTAATCATTAATCCGGGTGGAATTAAAAAAAAAAAAATTAATTAACTCAGAATATTAATCGTTCATTCTACACCGTTTAATGGCCTATATGGTAGAGACATTTTATCGATTTCATATTTTGATTCCGAAAAAGTCTAGTATAGGTAAAAAAGTCAATCATATGTGTATCTACATAAAAATCGTTTATTAATATTATGTGCCGCCGATCAAACATTCGATATTTTTAACAATAATATTTATTGGGTCGTCAAGGGAACAAAACGCGGAAAATTTGTTTACGCCGATTTGACTATTTTAAAAATATTCACTATACGTTGTTTACAAGTCATGTACACATTAAGAAAGTTATTTTCTGTTTTTCGCATTAATAAATATCTACGCAATTTCATTCGTTTATTTTTTTGTACTTTTTGTAATTGACAATACTAATATTTTTCGTGTGCTTTTACTTTTTATAGACATTTTTCATATATTATTTTTCCTATTCATAATTTTCTTTCAACTAACACGTTTATTACTTTAAGATGAACCGTCATCGTAAGCATTTTTTACTAATTTTTTTTATCAAAATTAAACATTTAAGAGAACGCGATGTTGTGCTTTCCCACATATAACTGTGGTGTCTCGCTCCGTCTCCGTCTTTTAAACGTACGAGGCATATAGAATACACCAGCAAACTTGAAGTTACGAATATTATTCGTGTATTTTTAAACATCGATTTATTTTTCTCGATCGTTTAATCACCAAGTGGGGTATTACGTGTAGGTATATTGAATATAGCAATTTAAAAATTCATAGCTATAATTCGCTGAGAAAAATTAAAATATCGAGAAAAAACCTACGTGTATGAAAACAGAAACTGAAAACCTTTTGATAAGTTTGATAAAAATAATCACTATTTATTTTTATATTAAAACTGACTGCATAAAATTATCCGTGTTAAACGTCTGCTATATCGTGCGTTTGTATAAGACGAGCACTATGCACACGGATATAAAATTTGCTATTATAACTTATTTTTTATTTCACGGTAAGTTTTTTAAACACAATTAAAGTACACAATTTACTCGCATATTATGCATATTAAGTTTTGTGAATATCTGCGGATTTTCTTCCAGTAGTCGATAAACATAGTGTAACAGGAATATATATTTAACAAATGTAATAATTTTTTTTCTGCCTATTTAATATTTTGAAGTTATTTTTTTTTTTATTTATAATAATTACCAGAACACTATGCCAGAATTGTATATTTTATTTTATTAATTTACAACTAAAAATAAAACATTTAGAGTTTTCATTAATTTTTTTTTTTATATATATATCCATTTTGCTGCTTGGTTCGATACTCTTTCGGATGTGGACGTACCAAATGATTAAAAACCAGTAAAAATAACATTATCGTCTTCAAAGTCTTCCAAGACGTATACAAATTCTTCAATTGAAACCGAAACGCATTCACGTAAAATTTAAATAATATCATTTTAGTCTACCGCCTTTAGATAAATTAACTATTTCGGTTTTATCCTCAATGTGTCCGGTCATTTTGCTGTTCGGTTCGATGCTTTTTCGGATGTGAACATAACAAACGATTTAAAAAAAAATGAAAGATCATCGTCATTGCCTTCAAATTCCGGAATAAGGTTTTGAAAGGAATCCGGTGCTAAAGAACTACCTAGTAATTTTAAAATGTATTTATTTACTTGTCGTCTCGTGCACACAATATGGGTATGATGTACGGACTCAATTCAACTATAACATCAAAATATGGAAGGACGAAATTGAAAATGTAAGCATAACATAAAATATTTGATTGCCTATCAAATAATGCATAATATATATATATATTAGAATGAGTATAAACTAAGTAGCTGTAAAATTTATTGTGACAAATTTACTGTTACTATTACCCGGTTTTGCTTATGGGCAATTTGCTTATAGCAATTTTGTAACTTGAATTTTTAATATTATCTTTGTATTTCGCTCGAAACGAGAGCGTAGCACGTTATTTATTAAATAATGTTTGTAAAAATAATAATTTAAAAAACTAAATATTTTTGAATAATTTTGTATTTCCCATAATAATTAATAATTATAATATAATCAATAATAATATATTATATAAATTATTGACATTTAATGTATTTGAAAAACTTTCGATAGTTTTTCAAAATTCTTCTGAAAAAATTGAGTATAATTTAAAATTATAATTACACAGTATAGTTTTTAAACTAATCTCGGACCGAATTTCCGGGTTTCCGAGAATCTTCGTTTTCTAATTTAATATTAACCAGACAAAAATATTTTATGATCCGTTATAGAATCGGAAGAAATAATTAACGAACCGATTGTCATTTCCGATGAGTTCATTTCGGATGAATCGCAGACGACCAGCCCGGGAAATTCCCCACGTGCGTCCGATATTATGAACATCCCGGTTGACAAAAATTCGATCTGGGCGTCATCAAGTGTAATCAATATATCAAATTCCGGATTGAAAGCGGCTATTGGTAAATAATCGAATTTAATTAAGTTATAAAGGCTTATCCAGATTATTCATATATTATATCGTGGGAAATCTATTCATTTTTTTTAGTTGTTTTTGTGTTAGGTACCGATACAGTATAATATTAATTGAATCTAATTAATATAAATAAATAATTGTAATTTGAAAAAAATATTTCCTTACTTGATCGTAGAACGAATTGTCAGAATTCGGCGGATTTTCTAATTGCTGATTTAATGTAAACAAAATGACAATGTTTCAAAGTATACGAGGAAGAACAACAATTTAGACGATTCGGTTTCCGAAACTGTTGAAGACGACAAAAACAATAATATATCATAGGCATGGGCGCCGAATATGTGACTCGACTGCACCGCACGGAAATTCTCCAAAACAGTTTTCTCTATTTTGTACTTATCTAAGCAATGATTCGTGGACATAACGGCATAACGATAAATAATCATCAACTAATAATGTCGCGTGCAATTGATGTCCCGGAATAAAACTAACTGGTTATTAAGAACCGATTAATACAAGACTGTCCATGATATTCAAAACGAAATTGTATCAATATTGATCCACAATATAAATTTAAAGTTAATTTCCGAAACTCAAAGTGTTTTGTTTTTTTTTATTTTCTATTATAACGGACGCAACAACCGACGTTTCTAGTAAAGAGTCGATATTAAATTTTTTTTCGGTATTTATCGATTGTCTAACGCTCTAACGGACACGTTATAATCATGCTCAATATGCGTATTACTTACATGTTATAAACCTAAGGTGATATCAAACTGAAACTGACAAACCATATTATTGATTGTAATGTGATTGTAACCTGTAGGATGGTGTAGAAGTTAATGGGAAAGTTTGGTCTATTTGATCGCGGAGATTTTTGTAATGGATGAGGGAGTGGACACGCGGTGTTTGTTCACTAAACAATGTACGAAGTATGTTGGCTATTTTTTTTAAGTTTTAATATCGGTTCTACGTAAGATACAGCTGGTGTTTAGTCATATCACCCCATCACCAAATATCGTTTCTCCACGGGCGTCCCCGACAACTCGGAACTCGCCATTTTTATTGTTATCACTATCGTCCGGGTCCGTGTTACAACCGATACATCATAACGCGTCTTCGTCGTAGGTACACGTATTACTGTAATAATAATAATTATTTTTTTATTTTTTTTCATAACGATATATTATTATGATATTATTAATGTAAAGTTATTTTATTTGTGTACGGTGACACAATTGACGGCACGAAGGCTTCGCGCGCCGAACCGACTCGTTGCAGTGGCCCGTCGCAGACGCGAATAGTCATGACGTTCGTACCTACTTCGTATACCGGTCGCCGAGGTCTGGTCGTATCTCTGACCCGACCGGCATTAGTCAACAATCAAGGGTTATTACCACGATTACCGTAGTTATTTTACCGTCGTAAATATTCGTAACGCAGTGCGTATGTTATTCGGTTATAAGACTGCGTAGTTAGTACACGCAGCTGCAGTTTCCAAAAAAAAAAAAAAATATCCGATTTTCAATAATATATACGTATTTTAGTACATATCTTAGTTTTCGATCGGCAGCATCCCCGGTTACATTTATCATTTGTTCGAATCAATCAAGAAAGCTCGTCTATCCCTGAGCGAAATGCATTATGGTAATAAAATAGCCACCGAATATCGTACATAACGGGACTATGTCTCATACTTTACTTCTGTCTACATAAAAAACGAAAGATTCTATTTAGTGATGTTAACTCACTAAATTTTGATGAATTTCCATTCTTAAAATTTATCATAGAACTATCTACAAATCAAGTAACTTATGTATCCTCTTCAAAATACATTGTTCGGTATCGGACGAAATATCAGCTATGTAAATAGCAGCTCATTTGCAGTATACTCTGTATCGTTCTCGTCATGTTCTTTGTCTTCCCCTAAGGTTATTATTTAACACGTTGTCTGTTAATCAACATCGTCAGTTGCGTTGGGTGTATGGACCTCTTTTACCCTATAAGAAGCACATTAAAAATATCGATAATTGCGAGTTATTTTTATTGAAATTACCCGATATCGGTGAAAACTAGATTTTTTTGTGTGCTTTTTTTTATACTACAGAGCCAGAGATTTTTAATAGATATCGGAAAAATTTGATAATAATCTGTCCAAACTATAGACGGTTATCAATAACATGAACTAGTACATGAACATTCGGTAGTGTCCACCACCACCACCATATTGATCGTTTTAGTGCGGATCGAAGTACAAGGTTTTTCTAATTTTTTTTTTTTTTTTTTTGATTTTATTGTACGCTAAAAGAGGGAGACGTTTTGTAAAATCACAAAAAATACGTCACCGTGTCGATGCGATGTGTAAAACAATAACATAACGAAACGTCGATGCGTCGGAATAATAAGAACAACACCGATGCATTTTGTGCGGATGCCGAGAAAACCTGCATTATGTTTATTTTCTTTATTTTTGTTTTAGAAAGTGCACCCAAGACCAACGACGACATCGTATACGCGTTCGTTTTACGTCATGTGCATTTATTTTATTTGTTTTTTTTTTTTTTTTAATATAATAATATATATAAATCAAGAAAACGACTAGCGAAGAAACGACCGCGATGATATAAAAGATTGGTATATTATAGACCTATATAATAAATAAACGACGTCAAAAATGCGTTAAAAAAAGAAAGGGGGGGGCCATAAATTACTGATAAAGAATATACGTTCACGTTGTCCAGAATAAAAATATTTCACGGCGCATATTCGAAACAACGAATTGAACGTGTACGGACATGTATTATATTTTTTGTCTGTTTTAATGACCAGGAATCCATTAAGGGACGAGTATAATAGCGTTTTAAGTGACAATAATAACGATTCTACAGGTTTTTGTTTTTGTTTTTTCTTCAAAACGATTTTACGATACAAACGTCTTGGTTCCCGTAATTTAAATTACGAGTATTATACGTGTAATAGGTCTTTTTTTTGTTTTTGACGATGGCACTCTCGATTAATATTATTGTTTGATTTAATGGTCACATTGTATCCCGACCGAAGACGTCCGTATTGTAATCATTTGAAAAACCAGAAGTAAAAATAAAAAAATGCCAGTCACAACCATTATCTTCTTTCCTTATTTTCTTCTCTTCTTCCACGGCCTTACCTACATATTATTCTATATAAATTTTCAACTCAGGGTCAATTCAAGTTCCTACCAAGATATTATTAATAAGTTTGTTAAATTTAACAGTAGAATAATTCAATTTATGTATGAATATATATAACCGACTAAAGACTGACTTGTAAATTTACAATTTTTTGTTATTAAAACTATCATTTATAAATTTTAATTTGAAAAAACTTAAAAATAAAAAATATTTCTTTACAAACTGTAGTAAGAATATCCCCCGAATTAGAAAAATGGATTTTTGGAAAAACGGGATAGTTTTTTCGGTCCGCATAATACCGATTTTTTGGTGTATAAATGGGATTCGCTGAATTGAAATGACACCGTAAATTATACTTTTAACCGGGTCTGTTCGGAATTTCGATCCTGGGCACCCCTCCGAAAATCAAAGCTTTTGACTGGAGGAGTGAGTTCTAAAGGCCATGTCAGGTTATATGAAACATATTTAAATATAATATAGTTGTAAATGCACGTACAATCAATAAACAGTGTATATAATATAATAAAAACAAGAAAAGACGGAAATGGATGAAAAAGCCAAGATATTAAATTTATCAGTGTAATATTTACCTATTGTTTCTCTAAAATGTAAATAAAAACATCAACACTGAACTCTTGCCACGGAGACGTCACCGGCCAGTAGCATAGTTATGATTCTGTTCTGGGAGAGGGGATAGGAGAATTATTTTGGTTAACTTTCTTACCCTTACACACTCCTTACAGATCTATGTTTTCAATTCTGAGAATAATGGAGAAACTCTTAATTTTACAAATATGTGTTTTTTCGGTTAATAAAAATGCTCTCATGCTATACTTTAAAAGATGTGGATTTTTCACCAGATAGTATTTTGAATGATGTTTTTTTAGGATATTCCCAAAACTCTTTCCAAAAAATACTTCGTACGGTATGGAAAGATCCTAAAAGATCCTGTTAGATAGATACTCTTGAAATTCGGAGCAAGATGATCGAGCTGGTGATGATATGCATATGATATTAATCATTTTATTCTGATCTTAATATTATTTTATATATACATTTATGTTTTATAATATTATTATTATCGAAAATACACACGGAAGCATAATTATTGTTATCTTTTTTGGGGTTTTAGTCTACTGCAGATTGTCCATCAGACAATTTAACGATCGAAATAATAATAAAAAAATAAAAAACACCTGTACGTATTTTGTGTTGAATTACTGTACATTCGTCTCAGAGACGAATAATGGTCGTGTAATACCTTAAATGCTTTCCATTTGTCAAACGAACGCTTAAGCTCGTTTATCCGTTTCCACGACATGCCGGATCCCCGGTGATGAACGAAAAAATTGTAAATTTGCAAATATAAATGACATGAAAGCCGCCAAGTGTCTCCGATATTCCTAAACTATATAATGTTTAACGTGAAATAAATAGGTCTCTATTGTTATCGGCGGCGTTTTTTTTATGTCGTATTCAGTGTTTCGAACGTCTCGAGAAATTTATTTTCAGCTGCGCCTGAACATCTATTATTTCTTTTCTCGGATTTCGAGTGAGCGTTTTCTTTTTTTTCTTTTTTTTTTAATGTTTATCTCGAAAAACAATACGTACTTAAGTACGGGTATAATGTCGATTTTACGCGCTGAAAACTGGCCCCGTTGAAATATTAATCTGAACATTTATCGTGTCTATACTCAGACTTTTTTTTTTTTTTATGCTCGAATAAAATCCTCGAGATCCGTACGGTTTCATTTCCGGCTGATGCTTCGGAGAAGAAGGAACGATAGAGGGTGTATAATACGCGACAACCGCCACAACGCATCAACGTCCGGTTTCCGGACCGCCGCCGATGTCGTCGTCAACGATATTTACTAATCAATTCGACAAACGAAATTCCTACGACGAGTCATAGGTGCGCAGGTGTAATACTTACCTATAAACTCTGTTATTAAAGATAAATCAAGCCGACTTGTAAATATTTTCCGAGCGATTTATTATCCGCCGCAGTATATTACCTACCCACACGATGGTGTACCC